CTCTCCCGTTGCGGAGCACAGGCTCCGGACGTGCAGGCTCAGTGGCCATGGCTCACGGGCCCAGCTGCTCCGCGGCATGTGGGATCTTCCCAGACCGGGGCACGAACCCATGTCCCCTGCATCGGCAGGCGGACTCTCAACCACTGGGCCACCAGGGAAGCCCAGGGTTTGCTCTCTTAACACCTTTCATATATACCATACAGCAGTGTTCATTATATTTATCATGTTGTACATGACATCCCTAGTACTTATTTATTTTATAACTGGAAGTCTTTACCTTTTACCTGCCTTCCTCCAATTCACCCTTCCCCCTTCCCCCATTCCTGGCCTCTGGTAGCCAGAAATCTGAGCTCTTTTTCTATGTGTGTGTTTGTTTTTGAAGTATCCTGCTTTATAAGACCTCTTCCCTCTTCCTAAAGGTGCACTGTCTGAGATATAATAACCTCTGGGGTGCCACCAGATAACCAGCTTAAAATAAAACACTGGAACCAGCACTAGACTCCTTTAATCAAGGCCCCACCACCTATGGGAGATTTGTCTTTTCCTGTCTTATACAATGTTCCTGCTTAGGGCCTAGAGGGGTGTTAAAATGGGATACGTTGGCCCTTGTTGTGATGCTCCCAAGAAGACAGAGTGTACAGGGAGGTGTTAGGTATGATGACAGTTTTTAATGACCATACTTCATACATTCTATAACCACTGTCAAAGAATATGTCACTCCTAAAACAAAGTCCCATGAGAGTAAAGCAAGAGAATTGGTAAGAATTGCTGAAAGCAAAAGCATCCTATTTCATCCAGGTTAACAAACTCATAACCCTGCTCTCTGCCCCATCTATCCATCCATCCATCGCATGATTAAAATTAAGAAGTCAGAGCAGATGTGCACCACAAGAAATGCTGAAGGAAGTTCTTTTTCGGGTTGAAAGGAAATGATACCAGACAGAAACTTAGATCTTCAGCAAGGAATGAAAAGCACCAGAAATGGTACCTATCTGGGTAACTATAAAAGGCTATTTCCAATATACACATATTTCCCAATACACATGGTTGTTTAAACCAAAAAAGCCTTATCTTGTGGGGTTTAAAATGAATATAAATATAGTATAGATGACATCTATAGTGTAAAAGGACCATAAAAGACATGGGTGGGAGGAGAGGTAGAAGATCTGTACAGTTTGTAAAGTTTCTGTATTTCACCTGAAGTTGTACAATATTAGCTCTAAGAAGGCTGTGAAAATCTAAGCATGTATACACCACAGTCCTTACAGTAACCATTAAAACAAGACAAAACAAAAGGTGCAATGAGGTATAGTTTAGAAGGTAATGGATAAATAGATTTCTAAAATTTCAAATAAGCCCAATAGACGAGAGGAGGGAAAACAAAAAACAGAACAGAAAATACATGAAAGAAATGGCAGATTTAGGGAATTCTCTGGTGGTCCATAGGACTTCACACTTTCACTGCTGAGGGAATGGGTTCAATCCCTGGTCAGGGAACAAAGATTCTGCAAGCCGTGTGGATAAAATTTTTTTTAAATGGCAGATTTAAATAAAACAATTTCAATAATGACTTGAAAGGTTAATGCACCAAATATGCCCATTAAAAGGCAGAAATTCTCAGGATTGACAAAAAAGCAAGGGCCAGCTATACATATACAAGAGTTTTACTTAAAGATAAAGACACAGGTATGTTGAAAGTAAACCTAATACCTTATGGTGACTTTCATTCAATACAAGCATATTGAATGCCAGTCCCTTTTCACACACTTAAAAACTAAACAAATCATGTGTAGTGTTTTCTCTAACAAAATATACTTGTTAAATGTTTACAGATCCTATTCTTTCTTTTTCTATTGAATGTAGTTCCCTGTGCTATACAGTAGGACCCTGTTGTTCATCTATTTTATATATAGTACTGCGTATCTGTTAATCCCAAGCTCCTAATTTATCCCTCCCCCCACCCCTTTACACTTTGGTAACCATACATTTGTTTTCTATGACTGTGAATCTTTCTTTTTTGTTAATAAGTTAATTTGTATCAGTTTTTTAGATTCCACATATAAGTGATATTACATGGTATTTGTCTTTCTCTTTCTGACTTTATCATAATCTCTAGGTCCATCCATGTTGCTGCAAATGGCATTATTTCATTCTTTTTATGGTTGAGTAATATTTCATTGTATACATATACCATGTCTTTATCCATTCATCTGTTGATGGATATTGAGGTTGCTTCCATGTCTTGGCTATTATAAATAGTGCTGCTATGAACACTGGGGTGCCTGAATCTTTTCAAATTACAGTTTTTGTGTTTTCTGGATATATGTCCAGGAGTGTCTAGGAGTGCAACTGCTGGATCACATGGTAGCTCTATTTTTAGTTTTTTAAGGAACCTCCATACTGTTCTCCATAGCTGCACCAATTTACATTCCCACCAACAATGTAGGAGGGTTCTCTTTCATCCACACCCTCTCCAGCATTTATTGTTTGTAAACTTTTTGATGATGGCCATTCTGACTGGTGTGAAGTGATACCTCATTGTAGTTTTGATTTGCATTTCTCTACTAATTAACGATGTTGAACATCTTTTCATGTACCTACTGGCCATCTGTATGTCTTCTTTGGAGAACTGTCTATTTAGGTCTTCTACACATTTTTTGATAGGGTTGTTTTTTTTGATATTGAGCTGCATGAGCTATTGGTATAATCCTATCCTTTATAATAGATTCTATCAGCTTGGAAATATTTCACTAATTCTTATTGGTAGTAATTCAAAAAAGAAAATGTCATCTCTCACGTAACAAGAATTCTAAAACATTTCTAATATACCGTGAGCTCCTAAAATGTAAGGAACAGTTTTAGTTTTCCCAAATGTTAGCACATAGGTAAACCAAACATAAATGTCTACTGAACAAACATTTCAATGGGTGAATGGGCACATGTACTAAGGAAAAATGAAATACTTACCACTTGAAGCCTCTGTGAGTTCTGAAAGTAGAGGATACTCTCCAACTAAACATCCAGACTGTAGATTTAAACCAGATTCAGAAGATTTCTTGGAGAAAAATAAGAGTAAAGAAGTATTAAATTTTATTACTTATAGGATTACTGATATTTTTATAAAGATTTGAATAAGCATTATAGATTATCTGGAAATCTGATATTAAATCAATCAATCCATCGCCTTCATTATCTAGTTAATTCTTAAGGAAGTATATAGGAATCCTATATTAGGAACCTCCAAACATCCTAACCAACGATTTTCAGTTCCCTAGGAAACGTTTATAGGGCACATTTTTGCTGTCTTATTGTTTGAAGTCCAGAAAACTATGTTAACTGCTTTCTTTTTTTTCCTCTCTCTCTCTCTTTTTTTTTTTTAAGGCTAGTCAAGTGAAGCAGTGGGAGTGAAGAAGGAACAGAGAAATCTGCCACCGGCTGTGATAAATTAATTGTAAACACCACTGCACTCGGACCAGCCAACGCTTTCTTTAAAGAGGAAATTCTCAAAATAAAGAAAAATATAATGACTAATCAAACAACAGAAGGTATCAATAGCTAGAAAAGGAAAACCATCAATGGCCAGGATAGAAAAAAACACTCATATTAATGTAAAAACCACTTGTAAATCATGGTGTATGGCCAAAAATTATTGTCAGATGATGATTCCATATCTACTAGAATAGAGCAGAGGGAGTGGAGATTATAAGCGACTCTGAGATATACATGAAACCCACGGGGGCCCTGATGGTCAACGCTAATGACCATCAAGCATTTATTAAGCCAGTCCAGATAAGGTCAACAGGACATGTACTGGATCTACATGACAGAGAAGGTGCAGGAAAAAAGCTTCCACTCTACCGGCATTAGGTGTCTTCTCTCACTAAAAAAACAGAAACCTGCTGTATCAAACCAGAACTAAG